CAGTTCATAAGGAAAAATGCAAGGGAGAGGCACCTTGACAGTTCCTTGTAGACCTCTACAGCGCCCTTCTTCATGGCGCTCTAGGTAAGTATACAGCCTTTGCTTCAAATGGGGACTTTTGAATCCCATTTTTGAACGCGAGGAAAGTTTTTGAATGTGAAGAAGAAGTTGGTCGTTCTTGACTACGTTCAGCGAAATGCAGCTCAGCGTGCAGTAATTCCATCGATTGTTTCGCTTCAAGCAATTCCAGTCGGAGAGCACTGAGAAGGTCCTCGGTGGTTTGCAATTGTTTCCGAAGATTTCTGTTTTCATCTTTAAGCTTTATTCGCCGTCGTTTACTCTCAACAAGAAGCCGCTTCATGTCCTCCATGCTCGCCCGTTCCTCTTCAAGAGTCTTCTTTAGTTGTGAATTCGCCTCAGTCAGTTCTTTTCGCTCCTTATCCTGCTCTAGTTGCATTGTGCTCAGTGCTTTCGCGGTCATAGCCTCACCAGAACTCACAGTCTCCCGCAGCTTGCACTCCAGCTCATTCAACTTCAACGCACTGCTGAGTGAAGCATTGACGGCCTCCTGCTTGCCTTTTAATAACTCGCTGCTGAGCAAATCCTTTTGTTCCTCTAACGTGGAAATTATAGATTTCAAATTCGCTACCTCAGCATCCCTCTTGCGCTGCTCCTCGTCGCGAAACTGTAGCTGCAGTTCAAAATTCTCCCTTAGTGAATCAGCAATTCGACTTTGGTCGCATTTGCTCCACGCAGCTTTCGTCCCCGTCTCGGATCCTGACGGGGGAGGCGGGGTTGTCTTGGTGTGCAAATCCTCCGACACCTGCACCACAGACCTCAGCGTCTCTGAGAGTTGCGATGATAACACCTTCACTTTTTCAAGTGAATGCTTTGAGGCATCCCAGGCATCTCGAATGGCACGCACCGAAAACGCAAAACTGTCTTCGCACGTTTCACATCTGTCCGGGTACACCGTGGGGTCGACACGCCTGCGTTCCCGTTCAAATTTCTTCATCGCCTGTAAACGCTCCCGCTCCACTGTGGGAGGTCTGTAAGGAACTCCTGGAGTTGTCATGTGCGCAAGTGAATCTATGCCATCATTTAAGGATGTCTCTATCCGATCCTCAATCTCCCACAATGCCGCACGCACTTCTAAAAGCCACTGCCGATACAGCGTAAGAAGAGAAACTGCCTCCCGCAAGAGCACCTTTTGAGGGGCGTCGACTGAGTTATCAGACGGCTGTTGCATCTTCTCACGTGTGGAGGATAATTCTAATTGATACTGGGCTACTTGTTGTTGGAGACGAACAACTTCGGCTGAGGCCTTGGAATACCTCGCCTGCACCTCCTCCAGCTCAGCTGCCATGGAGCTGTCTGTTTTTACCGTTCGGTTTAGCCGCTCAATTTCGCGCTCGTACTCCTTGTTCCGATAGCTTAGCCCATGAACTGCCTCACCCTGGCGCTGAAGCTCCTCAACCAAGGCCGTCAACCTCCCGTCCACCTGCCCTCGTACACTGTGCAAAAGCTCCGAGAGACGTTTACGCTCGGCAATGGACTCCGCAAGTTCCTCCTCCAGGGCGGCTTGACCGGACTGAAAACGTGCTAGCTCCACTTCATGCGCGTGGCTTTGGTCCTGCAGCAGGCGCTTGGCTTCTTGCAGCTCGGCGTTTAGGCGGGCCACCTCCACGGTGCGCGCTTCCGCAACGGAACAAAGACGTTCATTCTCCTCCTTTACAATCGTCAGGATTTCCCTCGTCACAGCCAAGTCCTGACGAAGGTGTGCAAGTTCGCGGTGAGGGGAAAACTCAATTTTCCCGCCAGCGGGGGCTGCGGACATCCCATCGACTAATTCGGGCAGTAAAAAAAAAGAAGAAGAACAGCCATCAAAGGACGGCAAAACATGTAAGCAACACGGAAGTAATGTTGAAGGGCAATCAAAACAGAAATGCGACGTTTCAGAGAGAGAGAGGGAGCAAAAGGAAAAAAATAATAATAATAATTGAAGTTGGTCCATTTCTCAAGGTCGGTCTGCGGCGGTAGGAGGAAAAAAAAAATGGGAGAGACAAAAAAAAGCCGAAACTCCAACAGGATCACAACCCACATTCCTCCTGTTTTTTTTCTTTTTTGGCGTTCCTCCTGATTAAACACTAAATGCTGATGTCCTTCAGACCGGAGCGGGGGATGTACAAAATGCGGTCTGTGCCGTACGCCTCGATTGATACTACAGAAATATCACCCCCTATTGCCCTGGCCGCACAATATGCATATGGCATTCTAATAGGACTGTGAATCCATGTTTTACACACCTTCTTCTCATGCTCAGTGGCTTTAAATGCTGACCAGTACTTCAAGGCATGTCTAACCTCTTCAAGAGGCATTCCACCGGCTGTGTCTGATACACGGACACATATTTGCTCGTTTTCATCCCTCTGAGAAATCGTCACCACTACAGGCGTGCAAGCTACACCATACTTTTCTTGCCGCATCACATTCGCCTGGATGGCATCATCAATCATGGCAGACAAGACGTCATACATCACGTAAGGTATACCAACAAAGGTTAGGTTTGGATCGCCAGCTATACGAAGCTCAATATTAGACTCGTCGTACAACTCGGTTGCTGCGCGGATCGCACATTTCACCACAGCTGCCAATGAACACTCACGACATATCATGCCAACAAAGCTGCTCGGATCATGGTCAAAGAACAAAGGGCGAGTTAGCTTTTCAACGTCCTTATCCTCAACATGCAGAATATGTGTAGATAAGTACATGTAATGACCCACTAGAAAACGAAGTCGCACGCGACCTCCACAAAAGTCATCAAAAAATGACTGTATTTCTTCAAGGGCCGGTGCAAGTGTTTTATCAGAAAAATCACGTTCACTCCACATCTCACGTCGTCCAAGCTCGTACATACCCTCAGACAGTAACGCACTCACGTTATAGTGCCTCAAAAATATACAGCGCACCATCGCGTCAAATTCCCGCGCACTCTCTAAATCAACAGGAAGTTTGGTTGATTTTATACCATGAAAACTCCATTCATACCACCGGCGTAACTCTTGTATAGAGGGCATCTGAGACAATCCCATGGGGGCGTGATTTAAGGCCCGGGCTCTCTGTGCCAAGCGCACCAACTTTTCACGATGAATAATTTTTGCATACGCATAGAGGTCCTCAATATTTCGTATATGCATCATATTTACCAGCGGTAGCCTCTTCTCCTTTTGAACTGCATAAAATTGGTTCAACTCCACAAATTCCTCGGCTGTTAACGGATTATCCACAACTACGTCAAGATCTTCCCTGAACTTTCGTCGCTCCCTCGCAAGAACTTCTGCGGCAGCCGCCAGGTCTGGTGAAGCCGCCTCCACCACCTGACGAAAGGCCTTCAGTTCAATAAGCTCCTTTTCAAAGTAGTCTAGGCGATGAATCAGATCTCGCAGCTGCGGGGTTGTAAAAAGCAAACACCGACGAAACATGGTGGGCAGCACCTAATCTACACGGAAGACAAAAAAAAAAGGTAATGACGACTAAAACCGAGAACACCAAAGTCCAATGCAAAAAAAAAAGATAACAGACAGTTATTTGAAAGCAACTTCCCTTGAAAAACAACAAGGACAAAGACACAGGAACAGAGGGCGCTTTACATGCATGTGCGCGACACCCAGAGCCAAACCCAGAGGTAAAAAAAAAAAACATGAATCCGGGAGCACGATAAGAAAAACGCAAAAAAAAAAGGAACGGAACACAGTCCATCAATGAATCCACCAACAAACCTGATATGCTGGTCGCCATGGTATAAGGTTGTTCATCAGCCACGAGCAAGCAAATACAATGAGCCCGCCAAGCAGCACAGGCGTCACAAGGAAGATGTAACCCGCATCGTGCATTCGCCCCTGTTTGTGAAAGACTGCAAGCACAGCTGTGGCCGAACTCGAGGGCTGAAACCAACCAAACAAGAGGCAAGCAGGGGTAAGGAGGGCCACAGCGAAGGCGCTGGCCAGCAACTGCCCAATGGGCTGCGCAAGAGACCCCGTTGCGTGGGCAAAGGAAACACCAAACAGAGCAGCAAGCAGGTGCGAGCCCAACAGTGCCTGCGGCTGCGCCCCGGGTGCAGTTGTGAGACAAACCGTCAGCGCGCACGACGCCCAGAACGACGGCAAGTACAGCTGCAGGCCGTACTGCCTCAGGCCGTACTCATCGACAACCGCCAGCAGGAGCATGATGCCGGTGGAGAAAACGAAGGTGGGGAGGAGGTCGAGCGACAAGGCAAGGGCCGGGGGCCCTGTTTCGCCCGCCCCACGCAGTCGCCCCAAGTACACCGCCAAGAAGCACCTCGAAGCCGCCACCTCTCTGGGCCCCGACAAACTGACCCCCAGTTGCCGGGGGCGCACCTTGCGGGTCCTCTACTGCCATCGCCTCC